ATAATCATAAATATTTGACTTGTAATTTTCTACCTAAGAGAAAACAATGGCCCCTTTAAAAAATAAAATACTGAGTATTATGATTTAATTATTCTCAAACTTAATGATAACTAGCGATTTGAACATTTTTAGTGCCAAGACTCTATTTTACGTTATTTTATTTAGTAAATAATTATCATTTTCTCCATTTTCTTAATCAGGAAACTGAGACACAAAAATATTTTGAGACACAAAAACCAGACCAATTTTTCCACATTCACAAAACAGATAAGTAAATGAGCCAGGATTTGAAAACAGGTAGGCTGATTTCAGAGCCCTCCGCTTAAACATACCACCTCCCCACTTATGACTCCTCAGTATTTATTTATTTCATGTTTTTTTTTCCTTTTTTTTTTTTTTTCTTCTAATTTGAACTCCTATGAGAAAATTTTAGGCAGATTAGGGTGAGTTCAATAACGCTTTTTCTTGGTTCTTTCAGGCACTTTTAACCTTTATTGTTGTTCAACTAAAATATCAACCTTTGATTGTTCAGAATGTTTTGTGTTTTGCCTGAATGATTCCAGCAGCTCTGTTGAACAACCTAGGAAATATGCTTAGCTCCTGGGAGGGAGGGGCGGGCATGGGAACAACTTTCAGAACCCGATGAAAGCTGAGTATCTGTTCCTGGGAAAGTGTCACGCATACAAAACTTTGCATGCAATTTCAGAGGCTCTGTGAGTTTATCAGGTTTCTGCTATCGTTTCCTCATAGGCTAATATAATGACAAAAACCCCAGCTTTTCCAAGTAAGAGTCAATCAATGCTCCCCCACTGGCTTCTCCGAGAAGCAAAGTACACCTGTCCCAAAGCCCTGTCCTCCTGCAGAATTGAAACTCTTCTCTTGGCTGCCTTGTAGCTTTTACCTCAGCAGCCTTAGAAGTGAATACAACTTACCAAGTACCTATGGGACAGTCAGTCAGGATTCCCAAAGCCCAGGAAGTATCCACTGAGAGTGCTTCCAGTTGGACAAACAGGCTTCTTCATGTCTTGCTGGAAGGCGTGTTTCTGTGTTCCACACCGACAAACCTGTATTTATAAAGTTAAAGTGTGATGAGTCTATTATCTCTTGTTATTCCAGAGCTTCCTGGCTACCAAGGGAACAGTTTATATTGAGTTTCTGTGAGATATTTTACATTTGATTTAAACCACCCTTGGGAATTAAAATCCCTGAGTCATCCTGGTAACTAATGGTGACTCAGGTTATGAAGCTTTGACGCATGTTCTCAGGATGACTCCCAATTCGTTGGGTGCTCAGAGACAGACTTCCTGCCCTTGGCAGGACATCTGCAGTGAATGGCCTGAAGTTGTGGCTGGGGTGGGGACCCAGTTAACGTTTTATAGGGAATTAGGTAAGGCTATGCAAAGATTGTATGACTAGGGTACACCTATGGGATATTTTTGCTTGCAAAGAAAAGATGGCTTTGGCTGGCATATTTATCGTAACAGATAGTATAAAAGAAAAGTGGTCTTCATTTCTCCTGTTATCATTTTCCCTACTGTTATATATTTCCCGTTGAATCAAATTAAGGAATAAAATCATCTTCAAAACCAGGCCAGCGACTAAATGTTCTAATGGTCCCATAGGCCCCCTTACTTTCCCTCTCCCTTTCCCATCACCTCTGGATTCAGACTGGGGCAATCAGTACCACCTGATGTGTCCAGGTCAGTTTTTCAGTTTACCAGGTCTTTCCTCATGGCCACTAGAGTGGTTGATATTAGGGCCTGGTTGTCTAGGTCATCAATTACAGTGATTTAGCAGCACCCTGAACACATTGCTGCAAAGGACACTGCCCTCAACCTCAGCATTCAAAGCAAGGCAGGGCTAAGGTGAGCACATACTCCAATCAGAAAGTGCATTTTCTATCTCTCAGCATTTCCCAAGCTCAGGAATTCACACCAAAGAGGCCGCCGGGACAGAAGTGTGTGTCACATCTGTAGACACAGTTCTCATGGCCTTTCCTAGTCGATTTTGCCTTTTTGGGTAACTTGTAGCATGTAAGTCTATGACTGTTCATTCGGGTTAGAGGGGAGAATTTCTAGGCTATATTTGGTGCAGAGTGAAATGCAAGTTTCATATTAAAATATGGGGCACTACTGACTTCATACTCAATTTAAAGCACACTAAGATAAATAAAGATGCGTGAGCGATAAGATAATAAGATGCTGACTGCAGGCGTGTCCTCCTCCCACACAGACATTCAAAGAGCTCGCAGAACATTCGCTGCTAGACTGAGCACTCGTGACCTTCTCTTTCCTGCTCTTTTTAATATGACTTTGCGTGAAAAATGTACTTTATTGACCAGCCGCATACCTAGAACTATAGCATTAATTAACTAATTCATGCTTCAATGTGACTGTTATATGCTGGGCTTTATCATTGTTTCTGGACATTTTAACTTATTCACCAGCAGATATAGTTGACTACGAGGATCTTTGGCTTCACACTCACTCATGCCCTATTTGAAATTCCTTTTTTTTTGGCCCATGTTTCATATTGCTTTTGCATTTGTTATTGTACTATTATTATTTGTTTGCATATCCCTCCCCTAAGTACTTAATTTGTAAATGTACAAGCCTAAAGCACACTTTGTATGTAACTTGAAAAGAAAAACAAAAATTGAGATACTCATCTTATTACAGAACTTAATATACTGATATAAACTGGTCAAAAGTTAAAAGATGGAATAAGATATAGCATGTAAATAAACATTAATTAAAAGAAAGCAAGAGTAGCTGTATTAATGTCAAATAGTGTAGTCTTCAGTGCAAAAGGAAATTACTAGAGAGAGAGGGTATAACATCATAAAAAACTTCTTGACATGCTATTGCACCATAGTTTTTCAAGATTTTACCATTTGGAGAAACTCAGTAAAGAGTATGTGGGCTTTTTGTATTATTTCTTTCAACTGTACATGAATCTACAATTATCTCAAAACATTTAATTAAAAAATATAAGTGGCATCATCTAGAAATATATAAAAACATAAGCATTTATTTTTTCCCTGAAGAATTTCTATTTCAAAATGAAATTATATCTGGTATACTATGTTTATTCCTGTGAGTCCACTAATGATAGAATGATTTAGCAATCCATCAAAAGTTTTCCTGCACAGTGAAAAAAATGTTTGGATGTTCTTAGACAAGACATGTGCACCTGTAATTTTCACTGTCTTGATGGGTTTTCAGTGGAATATTCACAAACAAGTAATATACTCAAGGGCCTATGTCCCAAAAGACCCCAAATCTCATAAATATAGCCTTGCTCTACAGTGACAGTTCTTTTGGCAATTGTCCTTATTATTGATGAGGTACCAACATCTGCAGGTAATAATTTCCTTTTTATATTGATATAGAAATGCTTTTTCTAGTTTTTGTATTAGAAGTTAAGCTTTGGTTCTAAGGAAATAATTATTTGTTGAGAGTCCACTTCCCTCTGTGAGCTGGGCTTGCTGTTAACCTGTACCTCATCTTATTCAACACAAGAATCCTATCAGCTACTCATATTTTAACAAGTAAAGTAATGAAGGGTTGAAGGGTTTACGTAGATTGTCTAAGATTCCAGAGTCAATGGCAAAGCTGGAATCTGATCCTAGGCCTGTGCGGCTCCAAAGCTCATGGCATTTTGCACAATCCTGTGCTTCCATGCCATAATGGCACTCGTGACCAGCTCTGAATTTGTGTCATACACACCATTTTCTTTAAAATGTTAAGCTTTCATTCAGTCTTGGGTCCATACTTAGTTAATAAAGTTCTATGTCTGTCCTGAACAAAGATAAGGAAGCTAGGGCTTTGCAGTCCAGACTCATAATTACAAGTGTTCATAACATGTAGACCATTGTTCAGTTAGCTCACATATAACATTATTCAAGCATTTCTGTTAAGAATAAAGCTGTGACATGTAGCTGGTTGAGCACATGGCTGTGATGGGGTGTGTGTGGGGGG